CGGCCCCTCCCACCCTAATTGGGGGCAGGGCCTGCCAGCCAATCACTCGAGACCACTCCCCCTGATCGTCCTGATGGGGTGGTCCGACCTCTCGCCATCTCCTCCTCCCAACAGGCCTGGCCCCTATCCTCCCCAATTGGGGCCTGGCCGGCCGGACCCCACCCATGCACGAATTCGCGCACTGGGCCTCTAGTATTATACATAATCTTATTTGTTTATATGTCTGCCTTCCCAAACATACATGCCATTTCTCTTTTTTAATTAAATTTATTGGGGGTGATATTGATCAACATGAACATATAGGTTTCAGGTGTGGGTGTCAATGTTACAAACTCTGTATATTGCACGATGTGACCACCACTCAAAGTCAAATCTTCTCCTGTCACCATATATTAGGACCCCCTTCCCCCGCCACCCACCTACCATTTCTTAAAGGTAAAGACTGTGCCTTTTTCTGCAGCTCTCAGCACAGCATGTCATAGGAACATAGGAAGCATTTGATATTTACCTGTTGAACAAATGTTGACTGACATATAGTTTTTACTTGTCTGTGGAACATGAAATCATTTAACCATGTTTATTTAAGGAGAATCTGTGACTGTTTGACATTTGGACAAATATGAAACCCAGGCCATACACACTCTAGTTATTAAAACAACAGCTTTATTTGCTGGACTCCACCTTTAACTCTGTGTGCTTTATGACGGGCAAGAGATATTGGTAATATTTTTACTGTGAACACTAGCAACGACTGTACACTAATAAATATCCAATCTATGCATATATAAATACATAGTCTCCAAAGATACAAAAGGCAAAAACGGTAAAATGCACCCAGAACCCAAACCTTGTATGAGGGCGTTCCAGGGAACACATGGCACCATTTTCAAAATGTTAGAAAACTAAAAATAAAAACAGGCCGGAAGCCCATTTTGCAGGATAGGGCAGTGGGAGGTGAACTCTCTGCACACCTTCGGTTAAGGCCCCAATGACTCTGAGCCTGGACAAGATAATACCATGCAAGGGGGAGTTTTCTAAACCAGACCACAGAAAATCTGTCACCTCTGACGTTTTCCTTCTAGGCTGGATGAGAAATCCTCTCTAATGAAGGTTTCCCAAAGAAAATGTACAAACAAGTACACAGGGGTGATTCTGGATAATTTGAGTAAGATCATCTTCTGAATGACAGCGTTTATCTTGGGGCTCCTGGTTTCACAATCATGATAGTTAACATCTGAATCTCCAGCCAGTCAAAATGTCACATGGGTTAGAAAGAGCTGATTGCAACACCATCCAACAATCACGCCAAGAGTTTTGTCTAAACACTGTAGGAAAATTGCACTCTCTTACATCAGGGAATACCTTTCCCCACAAAGTGTCCCAGAAGACCGCAGCCAGCTCAACACTGGAATGATTAAAGAGCCTCTACACTTCTGCAGGAGAGTCTTTCCAAGCTTCTTTGAAGCTCACCTATAAATGGCTGCGTGCAACATGGCTCTGGTGGGTTGCGTGAATCAAAGGGTTAATTGAGTAAGTCCAAACTCATTAACTTTGACGAAAGGGAGGCTACAGATGAGGAAAGAGAAGATCCTATTCCGAGTGGGAGGGCTACAGTGCCAACCACAGGAGCAACCTTTTTTCTGGTGGTGCTTTGTTTATGTCTTCATTGGCTTTCTCTGCCTTTCCCCTCTGCTGTATTTGTCTCCTCTGCAATCCCTTTCATCCTCTGTAAAAGACAGTGTTGAACAGGAAGAAAGAAACTGTGCACTGGAGTCAGATGTGCGCTAGCTTGAATCCTGGCCTTTATATTTCCTAGCTCTGTTGCTTCTGGCAGGTGTCCTGGCTTTTTAAAGCCTCAGTTTTACTGTCTGTAGAATGGGAATAATAATACTATCGCACGAGATTGGGGTGAACTCAGGGTGAATTGCAGAGAAGGCTTATAGCTCAGTACATTTCCACTTTGCATATTTACGTGCTCAGTCCACAGTGGCCACTGCTACAGGAGCACCCCACTTAGTGCCTGACTCAGTTTACATCCATATGGTTTGAGAAAGAACAGACCAGACCCTTTGTTCCTCTCCCAGAACTTTGGGATACTCCAAGTCTCAACTGTAAAGCTGTGAATTTCTAGGGCTTAAACAGGCTTCTATTTCTCTGCAAGGCCATGCTGCACAACACAAGGCTGCCCTCTGTTGTTGATGGAAGAGTGCAGACAGGGGCCTGACTCCTGGAGGCGGGGTGGCAGGTGACAGAGTCCTCAGTCAGTCTGTGTTCAGAAGCAGCCATTTCCTCCTAGGATGCCTGCGGGCGTTCTGTGCAGAGGGGAGGGAGGCATAGTCACCTGCCTGGCTCGGTACTAAAGGTGAACATTTGGTGTGGTAACAATATAAGGTCTTTCTCAGTGGGTTCCCTACCATCAGATGCCCTCTTTCTGCGCAGACACCAGATACCCAATGCTCCAACCGTGGGATCAGAATTGTCCACCCAAATCCATAAGGCTGCCTTCAAGGAGAAAGGTGGCGGTGTACTCCGAGTAAAACCTCATAAAGCTGCTTCTCAGAATATCCGGCCTCTGATGTGAGCAGCTGCTCCTCCCTCCACATTGGCAGGAAGCTGTGGCTGACAGCATCGTGCGAGGAGCTCACTCTTTCTGACCTGAATTAACTCACAGTTCTCCTTGATCAGGAGTCATGCTGCTCTTCTTCTTGCCCCATCCCTGGGATTTTGTGTTGTCAAGTCAAATAAAAAGTCCCTGACCACTAACCTTAGATCCATGGTTAAAATAATAATAATAATAAAACAACGATCCAGGGTCCTACCCACTCTCTTTCTCTAAGAAAAAGTGCACTAACCTTAGATCCATGGTTAAAATAATAATAATAAAACAACAATCCAGGGTCCTACCCACTCTCTTTCGCTAAGAAAAAGTTCAAGAAAGGTTGCCTGAAAGCTGTCAGATTGAGGTTTGTGCACCACCCGAGATAAGAGGCTGGAGGGAGGGTGGAGACATGGCCGCTGCCTGGCCTGGCTCCCAGTTCATTGGCTGAGCCTCCAGCCGGTGGCGGAGTGCCAGCTTCTGTCAAGGTGCTGCCTCCCTGGCAGCTCAGGGACTGGCACCAGAGGCCAGCTGCCCCTGGGGAGTCCTGGGCTGGTGGCAGCTTTTAATGCTCTGTGGAGGGAGGACTTCTTCTGGCTCAGGATCTGCAGCTGAGTCTCTGCTAAAGTCCCAATTCTGCAATTTCACCCAGTTGACTGAAGAGTCTGGAGAAGGGTGGCCGGTCTTCAGGTTTCTAGAGAAGGAAGAAAAGAACTCTGTGAGTTCCTTGTACTTGTGTGCCATAGCTAATTCCAAAAGCAAGCTAGACTTCACCAGCAATACCCTCTGCTGATTTTAAAATATGCTTTTAAAATGGTACCGGACCAATTAGACATCCATATTCGATACAATGATTTTAGACACAGACATATATCCTTAACAAAAATTAACTCAAGCTCAGCTGGTGTGTCTCAGTGGTTGAGCATCAACCTGTGAATCAGGAGGTCGAGGTTCGATTCCTGGTCAGGGCACATGCCTGGGTTGTGGGCTTAATCCCCAGTGTGGGATGTGCAGGAGGCAGCTGAGCAATGGCTCTCTCTCATCATTGATGTTTCTATCTTTCTCTCCCTCTCCCTTCCTCTCTGAAATCAATAAAAATATATTAAAAAAATAAATTAACTCAAAAGGATCATAAACCTAAATGTAAAATTTATAAAAATTCTAGAAGATAACATAGGGTGACCTTGGGTTTGGCAATGACTTTTTAGGTACAATACCAAAAGCGATTCATAAAGGGAAAAAATTGATGTTGAACTTTGTTATAATTTAAAAACTTCCACTCTGTAAAAGACACTGTTAGGAGAATGAGAAGACAAGCCATAGGCTGAGAGACAATATTTTCAAAACACACATCTGATAAAGGACTTATATCCGAAATATACAAAGACCTCTTGAAACTTAAAAGCCTTGTATGCGTGCATATAAGCATAACCAATGGACACAGACAATAGGGGGGTGAGGGCCTATGCTGGGAGGTGGGCTGGGAGAAGTCAATGGGGGGAAAAGGAGACATATGTAATTCTTTCAACAATAAAGAATTTAAAAAATAAAAAAGTAATAACTTAAAAAAAACCCCAAAACTTAAAAGCAAGAAGCAAATTACCTGATTTTAAAATGGGCAAAAGATCTAAATAGACACCTCATTGTAGAAGATATACAAATAGTAAATGAGTATGAAAAGATGCTCAACATCATATGTCATTAGGAAATTGCAAATTAAAACAAGATACCACTTGTTTTAGAGATACCACTGTACACCTATTAGAATGGCTAAAATCCACAACATGAACACTGACAATCACAAATGCTGGTGAGGATGTGGAGCAACAGGAGTGCTCACTGCTGGTGAGAATGCAGAATGGTACAGCCACGTTGGAAGACAGTCTGGCAGTTTCTCACAAAGCTACACATGGCGTTGTTATCATAAAGATCCAGTAATCACACTTCTAGATATTTACCCAATTGAGCTGACAGTTATGTCCATACATAAACCTACCCACAAATGTTTATAACAGCTTTATTCATGGTTACCAAAAACTGGAAGCAATTGAGTTGTCCTTCAGTAGGTGAATGGGTAAGCAAACTGTGGAATATCCATACAATGGAATAGTATTCAGTGATAAAAATAAATGAGTGAACAAGCCACAAAAAGACATGGAAGAACCTTAAATGCATATTGTTAAGTAAAAGAATTCAATATGGAAAGGCTACCCACTGTACAATTCCAACTAGATGAGCTTCTAAAAAAGGCAAAACTTGGATAATAAAAAGATCAATAGATGATAGGGATTTGGGGAGAAGGGGAGAAAAGATAAATAAGTAAAGGTGAAGCATGGTGGATTTCAGGGCAGTGAAACTATTCTGTATGATACTATAATGGTAGGAACATATTATACATTTTCCAAAACCTATAGGGCTGCACAACACACAGAGTGAACCTTAATGTAAATGATGGATGTCAGTTAATAATGTACCAATAGTGGTTGATCAATTATAATAAATATACTACACTAATGCAAAATGTTATTCACAGGGGAAGAGGTATGTGGGAACTCTGTTATTTGCTCAATTTTTCTGTAAATCTAAAACTTCTAAACAATAATGTTTATCAGGTTAAAGAAGAGAAAAAAGTGCTAAATAAATGTCATCTATCATAATTATTATAGCATTCAGCCCTTGTGAAATGGACTCGATTTGTTTTGTGCCCTTGTTTGTTTCTTTGTTTCTGATTATAAAAGATCTATGAACTTAGCTCTATGAATTTACAAATCAAGCATTATGTAATTCTGTACCAGCAAGGAAGAGCATGTTTAGAGAATTGTCTAAGATGAATGACTAAGACAGGGCAATGCTGAGACAAAACCCAAGTATTCTATAGTTTTTCAATTCTACCTTGTTCCCCTTCAATGATCTGAATTTGTATTAACTCCCTGTTTCAGCAACTTTCAACTTTGGTTGAAATTTACAATTTCCTAGCTCACCAAAGGCCATCTAAGACTCATGCTGAGGTGGTTCAAGGCACATCCTGTAACCCAAACGTGGATCACTGAGATATCTGGGAGGGTGCAGAGTAATTGGATTCCCTTTCTGAATTGTTGCATGAGTAAAATGAACTCTAAGTCATTTTAATATCTTCACAGCACACGTGAACTTCTGATTCCCAATTCATAGAACTAACTTTATGTACATGCAACGGTTTTACAATGTTACACAAATGCTTTTTCCCCCCTCAGGAAACTGAAATACCGACATAGGCTTCACTCCCTCGTTCTCTCTGACAATGTGTTGATGGCTTGTGACATTATGTAGCAAATCAAATGATATTTCAGGTCACTTCCAGATCTCTCTAGTTAATAGACACTCAAAGTCACTTTCCTGCTCATCTATTTCATTCATCCCTGCTGACTCATCCTCTAAAAGGGTCCCTTTCTCTGGGGAAGGGGGCAGACACTGAAGCTGTAGGTTGTAATGCAGCGGAACCCACTTCCTTTACTGACCTCTTTCCAGCAATGATTCATGATCTGGTAGATATGAGAGGAGGCCAGCCGGGGCTTGTACAACCGAAATCCGGTACTGATGTCTTCCACCACCTCTGAGTTGCTTCGGTTTTCATATGGGATTTTGCCTTCGCTGAAGACTTCCCACATTAGCACCCCTATAAGAAATGGCGAGTGCAGCACAATTAATGAGAAAGCTCACAAATAGCAAACAAACAAACATACATCTAGAAATCACAGACTCCTTGACATTAAGATTCAAGTCCCTCTCTCCAAGAAGTAAAATATCAAACCACCTGAGGCTTATTAGGCCTGTACTATTTCTAAAGAACAGAGATTTCCCAACCTTCTTAGTGGTGAAGAATTATTAGGCTCAGCCCCCTGTTACATCTAACTCAAATGCTACTACTAAAACTTGCAGGGGACATACACTCAAATGTCTACACGTGATGTAAATGAGTGAAGCAGGTGAGGTGTGTAATAGGGACTAGGGAGGACTGTGGAAAAATGGGGAGCAAAAGTTCTGTCTTATCGAGACAGCTGTGATTTAGCTCCAGCAAAACAGAGCACATGAGGGCTCAGGATTATCACATTTTCTGATTTTTCAAAAGAAGTCATATATTGAGAGTTTTAAAATATAAACTCCATTTGATTTTTAAGAATACTGTGTAGACCAGTGATGGCGAACTTTTTGAGCTCGGCGTGTCAGCATTTTGAAAAACCCTAACTTAACTCTGGTGCCGTGTCACATATAGAAATTTTTTGATATTTGCAACCATAGTAAAACAAAGACTTATATTTTTGATATTTATTTTATATATTTAAATGCCATTTAACAAAGAAAAATCAACCAAAAAAATGAGTTCACGTGTCACCTCTGGCACTTGTGTCATAAGTTCGCCATCACTGGTGTAGACCAAGCCAAACACATCTTCAGGTTGCCCATTTCAACCACCTGATTTAATTCCTTTTCCTCTTCTGCCCAAAGTATAAATGTCACACCCAGCTTTATCGTGTGCTAATACATTCCTCGAGGACAGAGTGGGAAGACAGCTGGCGGCCCAGGTGTTTTCAGAGCATATTCGAGAGAACCTTAGGGCAGAATTTTTCAAAGCATCATCTCCAAAACGTCTGAATAAATATCACTCCAGAAGTTTGCTCAAATGCTAGATCCTGGGCCCCCGCCCAGGCCTCTGGATCAGGATTTCTAAGGGATCCTCAGGAATGCCTCAGGCATTTTGGAAATTCAGAATCTATCTCTAAATAAGACTGCTCAGTATCCCAAGATGCCAGGATTTCTAGTGAGATTTTTTTGGAAAATTGGGGTCTGAGACTCAATGCTGGTTTGAAAACAACTGCTTCCATGCAAACCTTGTAAGGCATTGATGAGAAACTTCAGGAAGGCCCAAACCGGACTGCTTAAAACACTACAGCTAATTAGGACAAAACCCTGCGGGTGGGGACAGCTCCCTCTCAGCATTCAGGTGCCCAAGAGCCACCTCCTCAGAGAGGCCTTCCCAGATCATGTACTTAAAACAGACCCTCTCTTCATCCCAGTCACTCTCCACCCCTTTACTTTGTCTTATTCATAGCACTTACTTATCACTACCTGACTTTGTGGATTAGCTTGTTTACATAATTGTTGTCTGTCTCCTCCTCAACTTCAGCTTCAAGAGCAGTCTTTCCTGTACTGTGAGCTGTACTATCCATTACTGTACTGTGACCTCCTTACATTAGGCCCAGGAATACAGTAGATGCTCTATAAATTGTTGCTGAATAAATAAGTAGTTATTGAGGATTAAATGAGGGAATATAATATTGAACAAAATCTGGTTCTGATCCTCAAGGAACTCATATTCTAGTCTCCTGACTCCTCCAGCTTTGGATCTCACAGCAGCTGTCACCAGAATCCTGTTCCCACTCTCATTTTTACCCTAGTTTCAAAGACCTCTAGAATAAATACAATTCATGCTTTTTAGAGCCATTATTACACACAGACTACCAGTGGGACTCCCTCCCATCCAGAGTTCAAGGGCAAGCAGACTCAGATCACGTGGCTCTGGGCCAGGCGACACCCACCAAATGACCACACATCCGACTTGCTGCTGTAGCGGCTGAAGGAGAAGACTTCCGGGGATGCCCACTTCACCGGGAACTTGGTGCCCGTGGAGCTGGTGTACTGATCGTCAAGGACAAACCTGGGAAGAGAGCGGAGAGAGCATGTCGGCATGTTCTGGGGGCCTGAGTCCCCCTCCTGAGGCTGTGCTGGCACCATGTCCCCGAGTTACCTTGTCATCCCAAAGTCCGACACCTTGATGACTTGGTTTTCTCCCACTAGGCAATTCCTGGCAGCCTGGACAGGGGGCAGGCCAACAGAAGGGAAAGAGAAACTGTTAGTGGATAATCAATAATGAAGGCGTCTCCTATAATCAGGTCCTTTGCTTTTCTAGGTGCTGCTGTAGGAGGCCTTGAGGAGCTCGACAAACGTTAATTGAGCTTCACAAACGCCTGATGAAAGGTAGCTAGCAAGAGGAATGCGTGAGGTGCTTTATCAGGATGAGGAAGTTGGGTCTTTTATCTTCATTTCTGGGATCCTGATTAGAAGAGAAATCCATGTGTGGTCTAACCAATGATATGCTCTAATGCAACCGTATGTGATAAAAATGTTAACATTAGGGCTGCTGGGAAGAGTCTGTCGCCCATTTGACTAAAATAAGAATGTTTTCAAGTTGCTAATCCCCTTGAAACTATTTCTCAGTAGGAAGAGTACCTATTCCCCAATCAGTATCCCAGAATGTGGCATCAGAAGAGCCCTTAGTGATAAAAGACTCCAGGGAGCCTCAAATGTTAATGTGCCTACAATCCCATGGCGGAGCGTGTTAAAATAAGGATTCCTGAGCCCCAACCCCCAGAGGTTCTGAGGACAGTTCTAGGTGGGATTCTCATAGATCCTGGGATAACACTTTGAGAAAAACGACTTGTTCACTTCCCTTGTTTTACCAGGAGGACACAGAGAGGCGAAGAAAAAGAGGCTGTTCGTTGCATTTTGGAAGGATGTAAACTGAATCTCAGAGGGTTAAAGTTAGAGGTGGGGCTGCAATTAGGGCCCCACTCGAGGTCCTCATGAAACACTTTCCCACTGGGACATCCCCAAGTGGGGAGAGGAAGTAAGGTTGGGAAGGGAGGAAATGGGAGGGGAGGGGGTGTGTGACTTGATATTGATTAATTAATGCATCCCGGTCTTGGTAGCTCTGCATTTCAGGGGCCCTTCCTCCTGGACCTGAAGGCGGATGCCTTGCACCGTCTTACCAGGTCTCTGTGGATGACACACGCCTCTTCCAGGTAGGCCATGCCCTCACACACGTCCAGGCACATGCCCAGCAGGGTCTCTGCAGCCAAGAGCCCCCGCTGGCTGCGCAGGTAATCCGACAGGCAGCCATGCTCCATGAACTCGAACACGAGGCAGATGGGGGCCTGCTCCAGGCACACCCCGTACAGCTGGACCAGTTTGGGGTGAGAGAGTTTCCTGGAGGAAAAAGGCAAGGGGTGAGATGGTCCAAATTTAGTTTCCTGAAAAAGACCACCCCCAAAACACAAAAGCGTGTCACTTGAGCCTAGACCTGAAGGATGGCAACTGTGTATGAGGATGAGTGGAGGCCTGTGTGGCTGGCATGTTGTGAACCGGAGGAGAGATGGGTAGGAGGTGAGATTCACCAGCTGGCAGGGCCAGACCATGCCAAGCCTGGGGACCAGGGTGAGAGTGTGACTTTATTCTCCGTGCCATAGAAAGCCATCGCTGGATTTGAGCAGGGAGCTGGCACAACACGGCATCAGAGTGCTATTTAAAGAACACAGCCGAGAACACCCTCCCCACGGCACCTCTGTCTGCCCTGGTTCGGACCACTCACATCATGACTTCCGCCTCCTCTAGGAAGTCCTCTTCTGACATAGCTCCTTCCTGAATGGTTTTGATGGCCACCTTGTCCTTGTTGAGCCAGTAGCCAAGATGCACCAGTCCGAACTGCCCGCTGCCGATCTCCTGCACGAAAGTGAGCTCCGAGGGATGGATCACCCATTTCCCTGGAGGCGACAGAGAGGGTTTTCCAGGGTTGGCCAGCAGTACTAAGGCATTGTTTGCTAATACGTTTCTAATAGCATTTAGTAGAGTGCTCTGTACAAAGCAGGGGTTCAATAAGCACTTCATCGATGAACGCTCAGCTAAAACCAATGGACATTGATTTGGCCAAGATAAATGGTCTCATATATAAAACTCTCTTACTCACACACATACATGCTCTATTTGTACACACATCTCCAGATGTACCTGTTCTAATGGCCATTCTAAGTCTGGGGAAGACTTAGGTTCATGGAACATCCATTCAGATTTGCCCCCAGACCTTTAGGGACATGAGTTTTAGGCAAAAGTATAACATTCCTAAATGCACTGCTCACCGTATCTCAGCCCAGCTGTGATGGGGGCTTTCTGCCTCCAGGAACAAACAGGATAGCGAAGGCGCGTGACCAGGCCTGGGTTGATTAAAAAGCAAAAGGCTGTGGTTAGAGCTTTGCTGTACCAACAACCATCCCAGTTAAATCACCAGGAAGAAATATAACGCAGTGCAAACGCTACTTTTATTCTGGAAAACAGATCCCAAAGCCCAGTCATTGACATTCCACCCTCTCTGAGAAGAGTCAGAAACACAGGTGGGCAGGTGGCGAAATCCCAGGATCCCAGCAGCAGAATTGGCTAATGGAAAATATGTAATATAATCCAGTGTTTGGCACCCTTTTCTATTTGTCTATTTACTTAGCATTTAAGGTCAGCGTGTTTGACATGAAGAAACCAGGCTCGTCGTTTGTCACTTTTCT